CACTCTCCCGAGTGAGCCACGGGCCGGCCCCCAAAGCTTTTCTTTTTTTGTAACATTCTGTTAATCTCTTAATTTCTAAGAGCAAATTTCTGATTGTATACCCTTTTCCCCTCTTTTTTGACTAGCATCCAGAATACAATATCTTTTTTTTTTTCATCTCTTCGTTTTGGTCTTGTTTAAGGGAGGAGGATAGAAACTCATTAGAAATTCTGAGCCTGTAGTTGGAGCTTGCTTATAGGCTTGAGCTTCACAGTAGGGTGATCTGACTGCCATTTCTTGTCCCCCTCATCCTCCTTGTGTCAGTATATTCATGTCTTTTCTCTCACATTCATGGCATTACCAGAAAACAATCCTCTGCTCCCCCGCCTGGAAGGTACAAGCCTTGCTGCTAGTCCAATGAAAGTCAAAGGGGGAAGGTGACTGGGAAGGCCCCAACGTTAGGGATTCGGCATGTATGCATTTTTTTTCATTTTGGCGCTGCTGGCATTCTGTGGAGTTAATCTGTTTGCTTCTTGACATTTTCTATTTCAATTATTTGGCTTTCTGGGGACTGCTAAGTCAAGTACCACTTGACCGGCTGCTAACTTCCAGAATGTTGCACTCTTCACTCCACTTTTGTCCTCATTATCTGTGTGGATTTCTTTTAAAAAATCCCTTCACTGTGGGCCGGCCTGGTGGTGCACTGGATAGTGCGCCGCTTGGGAAGCGCGGCGGCGCTCCCGCCCGATCCCCACTTAGAATCCAGCTTAACTCACTGAACCGAAGATGTGGCAGTTAGAAGTTGAGCNGACACGGAAAAAGACAAAAGACAAAAAAAAAAAAAAAATCCCTTCACTGTAGTTTTAGTGGAATTTTAGGTGGGAGCAAAATTAGATGTATGCATTCAACTTGCCATTTCTATCCAGAAGCCAGGTACAGTTTAAGTGTAAACATGACAAGTTACACCCTTGGATTTTTATTAGAATTGCATTAAGCCTGTACATTAATTTGGGAAGCTGTGAGATCTTTAAAATGGTCTGTTTTCCCCTTGAAGAACATGGAATGTTTCTTGATTTATTCAACATGTCTTCTTTTAGGTCTTGCACATTCCTTGGTAAGATTATGTTTTATAGTTATTGCGTTTGTGTAGTTTTGAGTTCAAACATGTGATTCTTTAGTTATTTCTACATTCTTAATTGTCTTTATATCTCTTGTTTATTTATACCTTCCGAAGCCTGATGCACTGGAACAAGCAATGTTAGATGCTTTAGTGATGGATCGGGTGGATTTTGTGAAACTATTAATAGAATACGGAGTGAACCTCCATCGCTTTCTTACCATCCCCCGGCTGGAAGAGCTCTATAATACAGTGAGTATGGAACATTTAGTCAACCATCTTTCTTAGGATTTATCTGTTAATTAACTTAAGATTTACCTGCCTCCTTATGTGCAAAGATAGTTTATAGAGAGACAGACTTTTCAACCAAAGGAGAAACATTCTTACTAATTCCATTTTATCCTGGTAAGACATAGCTAAAGACAAAGATGTGAATAAAAACCAATTGCTTTTTATTGAGTCATTTGAACAATCTCAACCTAAGGCCATTATCGAAATGCTGGTACTAGAACTTCCTACACAAATTCTTTATTGAAACTAGACTGGCTTACTCAGCGTGAAAACACCAGTTGTGCAAGCTATGCAGGCTTCTGGCCAATTTCCTTCCTTGTCCTTTCAATCTTATCCTTTCTTCAAGATCTATTCAAGTTTTGTTTTCTTGTTTACTCGAGTTAGTTCATGGTGATCTGTTCCCAGAGTACAGATTATTTGCAACTCTTTTTGAGCACACACATCATCATATTGTTGATTATTTTTCAGCATAAGTATTCGCTCTCTTCTATTATTAGAAGAACTCCAGAAAAGCAGTGCTTGTATTTGTCATTGAACCCCTCAGGAGCCTGATTGAACATAGTAAAGTTTCAATAAATATCTGTTGATGGAATGTACTTGTGTAATAGGATTCATAATTATATGATAACATCTATATAAGATAAAGGAAGGTTATAAATCACTTAGAATTGATTTCTGCCTCTTACCACATAGCTACATATATATATCTTTTTTTTTCTTTTTGGTGGTTGGCCGGAACAGGGATCTGAACCCTTGACCTTGGTGTTACAGCAGCACTCTCTAACCAAGTGAACTAACCAGCCAGCCCTACATATGCACATCTTTTTTTGAAAAATATTTCACCTAATTATATTTTCTCTTGGGAGATATCTTCCTTAGAATTGATTGGTTTACACTTTATTCCTAAAGAGGTTGAACAAAATTTTCAGTATTCTGAGTTACTTGTGCATTTTGAAATGAATTTTTTTTCCTCTTAGCACATGATAATTAAAGAGGTTAATTCTTCCATTTGTTCTTTATTAC